ATTGAGGCGGCGGGTGAGTGAGGTTGCGGCATCCCCCTGCCCAATGGGAAGTTAGGGGGCACAGACCGGCTGGTGGCCTGAAGGACAGGCTAAAATAAAACACAAGATGCGGTAGATCAGATCATTAAAGGAAGATTGACGAGCGACAAGCCTGGTAATTGGCTGTTGATTGGTATCGGCCACAATCTCTGCGAGTCTGTGGCTGCTCACGGCATCCCTTGATAGACCTGGCGGTGAGTGTTTCAGCAATTTCGATAGAGCAGAGATAGCCCCTTGCGCCGCTTCCCACCCCCAAGGTTCTGCTGCCAGGGTCCTCTGGCCACGGGCTGCTCACGTTGACTGTGAGGTGAGTTAATCTAGGTGAGAAGCGTGTCGAAGCGAAGCCACCCCGTAGATTACAGGATGCTTGCTGATAGACGAGCATCGTCCTGTTTCTAGTTCTACGCCTGCTTTAGGCCCTCCTTGCATTTCGACAACTGGGATCTTTTCGTCGGCTATCGCGGAATTGTATCAAGAGTGCCGTAAAAACCGTTTCCGGTGTTTCTAGCGGGTTGTTCTTGTGCAATTCGAAGCAGGCTACTAACAGAAGTCAATGTTGATATCTGTGTCTGCCAAAAAGTTGGCTTGGCATGGAAATATGACTAAGCCAGTGGTCGGTGCGAGGGAAGAAGCCAAGGAAGGAGCACGGGCAACAGAACGGGAGGCGGGGACTTCCTTCCAAAGGACGAACCAGGAGCAGAAGGAGCAGCGAGCAGGAGCAGCGTGCACAGACCAGCCGATTCGGCATTCCTTTGGCGGGGGCGACGACTGGGGCGGCGCCACTGGGCACACAGAGCAGGCAGGCGCGGGAAATGACCTGCACATTTTTTCTGGTGTTGTGTTGTGCCCCACTTTAATCGTGGCTGATGCTTGTGCTTGTGAATAACTCGCTCTCGCATCTCGACGAAAGCGTATAAAATTTAGGTAAAACAAAACAGAAGCAGCATTGGCACGTGAGCGACTAGACTAGAGAGCTTAGTGAGATCTCCAGAAATCCAGGGGTCCACCTTCGGAGATATTCTCGAACCTTACTACGACAGGAGAGGAGAAATCCTCAGCTATCCGTTCGCGCCGTCGACCTGCGCTATCAAGTCTCTCTACTGATCTACTGTGATAATCTACGAGCGGTGAATGGCACGAATGAGATAGTTTCTCAAGACCAGCTTAGCCTCGAATTCTCATTCAATTTCCTCCCGTGCTTGAGCTGCTCGCATGGAGATGAAGACTCCATCACCCGATGCATGCGAAGAATGCGACTAGGGAAGCTTCGTTGCTGACATTCAAACGCATCCATATCGGTCTCATGTCAGGCAAAGGCCAAATGTCACCGTGCCAGATGCAGGAGGAAATTACTCGACCCGTATCAGCCAGCCGAACCAGCCGAGCCGCCTCCATTTCGATGCCTGTGACGCCCAGAGACTCATCCGCAACCGACTTCACCGAGTGGCCTCAAGGTGTGTTTCCGTACGAGGCTCGATGTGCCTTGTAAATGAATTACTAGTCTGGCTGGTGGGCTCACTGCGGGCCACCTCTCGTGCCACACCAGTCCAAGATTCTACGATGGCCTCGAAAGGTCGAGATGACCGCTACTACCCAGTATGTACGTGTACAGCATTTGCGCAGGGGCCAAGTCGAGCGATGCGACACTGCCGAGACGGTGTTACTGGCTCAGTGTCACCGGATGGCGTAACAAATGTGTACATCGTACACCACATTACGCCTGCCCTGGTACATCGTGATGCATTCAACGCCCAAAACCCCACTGAAGATGCTAAGAGATGGATTTATTGACTCACGGACGCTATGTGACACTGGGCGGCCGAACTTGCCTATTGGACCACCAGATCAGCCTTGTTAATAAACGGCCGAATTAAGATTTTCTTGCTTTTCCCCCCTTGGCTTTGTTGCCTCCCCTGCTAGTCCCACACTCTGCATGACTGGCTCAACGTGCTCGAAACGCTTACAGGGCCTTTCACACGCCTAGCAGCCTCACTTCTCTCTCTTCGGCAAGTCACGGCCCTCTCGGATACTTGGAAGTCGACCATGACGAGGCTGGCGCCTCCGTCTCCTGCATGGCGACCTGGGATGGGAGGCAATTCTCCATCGGCGAGCATTGCTTATCACCGCTTTGCAGACCCCAGAGGACCAAAGATCGCTTCACCCATCAGAATAAAGTCCCGGATACTTTGGTTCGAGGTATCTTTGGCGGAACAGTTGCTTACTTCATATGTACTAGCTACCGTACAAAACAAGTGCCACGATCCTGTTTCCATGCATGCCTGCTGATGCTCATCTCCTGTGTTGGAGCCTCAGGCAGAGCTTACGCCCAGCCAGGAAAGACCACCAGTAACCGTTGCAAACTATTGGTGCAGGGGTTGAAAGCCTAAGGCCCCTATGGCAAATGACCAGAAACATCATCAGACTCGACTCTCAATTCGACCTGTATCGTGATCATTTATCCATTTCTGAGTTATGCGACAGGATGCCTATTATGGGCTGTCTTTGCTGTAAAAGAACACACGGCCCATATGGGCTTGACTGATCATTGCTTCACCGCCGTTATGGATTTGATGCGCCCAAAGTGAGAGTTTCAAAAACTCTTGACTGCTGGATATGGACTCAATCTGCTAGAAGCTAGAGGTCCCATCGTAATAGATTGGCGCCTGCTGATGGCCGTCTAATCGGCCGCATCTTCTGCCATTTGTACTTGGATGGTCGTGGCATTAACTTGACATGCCTTCTTGCATAAACATCCAACCACTCAGAGTCTCATATCCCGCAAGTCTGGCACCAGCACTTGCAGGATACAGTATTGTGGTAATCCTGCACATTGCCGGATTGCCAAAACCATTGGTTGGTATCTCGGAGACAACCACTCAAAACCCATGCATGCCGCCGAACGCTCCCATTTGTTGATGAAGCTCTCTAAACAGCGCTAGCAATCATCCAATGGATCTCAGCGAGGATCTCGAAGGGCAGGCAGGATCTGCAGAACAGGATGATGCAACAGCTTGATGGCGTTGGACACCCTGACACCTTACCACGCAGGAGACGGATCTTCTCTCTGGGCCGCCTCCAATCAATGAAGCGTGGTCCGCAACGGATACAACGGAGCCACTCAGCTGGAAGAAGATTCGATAGATCAGCATTAATCAAGCCACGAGGCAGCAGGCAAGGTCCTGCAACAGAATTTCTGGCGGAGAAGCCCGAGAGGAAACGTACATGCTCAGCACTCTTGATGAAAAGACTCCGCGTAGAGTCTCACAGGCACGTCCTTTCTCCCTCGCAAGCCTACCTCCTGCAGAAAGCGCGCGAACTGAATTCATGCATTCCGATCATGGATGACTTGTGCACATAAACATTCGATTGAGCGCTAAGACACTTTGGATACAAGATAAAAGCCACCGACCGACCAATCAAGTGAGGTCCGGGCTGACTGTGTGTTCTCAAACAGCTCTACAACGAGAAACACGCGACCCTGAAAGTTTGCCTAGGGGCCTAATTGAGTTGAGGTTTACCCTGGAAATGGCAGGAGGCCCATCCATCCCGATAGTAGCCTGAAAGTTTGGCTTTGTTCTGCATTCTGAATCATGTCAACAACATTCGATGGTAGTTCATTCCCGCTTCTAAGTTCAGGGCAGATCTTGGAACTATCAATCGCGGCTTGACAATTCGCTCAAGCTACAGTAGCAATTGTTTCAACCTCTGGAGGTATTCGAGAAGGGCCAAAAAAGAAACGGGGAACCACACTGTGTTAGCAAAAGGAAATATGCAAATCAACGGGCTTCTTCGATCATGACGACTGGCAAAACGAATGAGCAACAGAGCAGCACAGGCGTGTGAGTGAAAGGCGGAATTCCTGGGGGACCTGGACTGTCAGCAGAACAGAGCACGGCAGCAGTGGGCTGCACACGCCCGACAGAACATCTCATTTCCCTTCAACGGCGCACCCCCTGGCCAGACACTCCTCCCTCCTCGCCCCTGCTCATTGGGTGAGCGGCCAGAGATGGCGTTGGTGTCGTGGATGGATGGTCGTGACCCACACCTCTCTTGGACCAGTTATTTCGTGTGTCAGACAATCCTTGCCCTCGTATATTGCGCTTCGTCACAAATCACCCATCCTTTGCGTTAGTGGACGCCCCAGATGGACTGGGTCATTCCCTTGGCTGCCTCGGCCGGCCCCCCCTTGTCGATTTCAGTCTCTTCAGGTTGGAACCTTAAACCAATGTGGAGCATTGAATTTTTAGCAACGATAGCGCATAGTGGATAGTGTGGACACCCTTGGCTTCTAAGACATGGGTTGCTGAGCTGGCTCGACATGGGTACGACATGGGTACGTACTGGCCGGGATGGATGGATGGCTGGCTTCGAACGGGGGCAGGGATCTTCTCATCGAGGCGGACAGGTCCACACTCTGACTGAAGCAAGCCACTCAAGTCCACGCAATGAGTGACAGAGTGAGTGACTGACCCTCCCTCAGGCGGTCGTCGACATCAATATCTACAGCGACCTCCCACCTCACAGCATCACCACTTCTGCACCCAACCACAACCCTTTTGCGACGCTCATCCCACGACCGCTTTCATCCCATTACTCCTCAACAGGTCTTGGATTGTCGCCGACTTTCACCTTCAATCATCACAACAACGACTTCGTCTTCCCTGATCCGCTTGCTGCCATCTCTCCTTTACGGCGACAACCCTTGAGATTGACCCGTTGACTCGGACCTCAATCTGTTGCGACGACACATCACAGCCCAGGAGAGCTCTATTAAGGCCGTCAAGAGGATATTCCCATATAAACCTATTGGTCCAAGGATCCTAATACCCATTGGAAGGCCGACTTTCCTGTTTCGTGTTTCCTTTCTTTCTATTTGGTCTGTTTGATCCCCGCCAAGCCAGGAAACCAAAAGGACAGGAAAGCCATCGTGGACTCCCCTGGAGATTCCACATCACATAATTATGCAGCATGTCTCAGCACCGTACGGATATCCCACTCCCCCAGCGTCGCCGGCGTCATTCGACCAGAAGTGTCCGATAAATCAAGCCATCCCGGCACCTCGACACATCCCTCTTGCTCCTGAGGAGAGACTAGGGAGGTTTCTAGCAGGCTCGCTCCAGTTGACGGGTATCCTTGGGACTGGCGCATACGGCGTAGTGTACTCCGCCGTCGACATCAAGACCAACATCCAGTATGCCGTTAAGACACTCAGCAAATTCAACCCAGATGGGACTCCGTTAGACCGTCGACAGCTTGCCTTTCAAACCAGGGAAATCCGTTTGCATTACATGGCCTCGGCCCACCCCAATGTTGTGTCCATGCTCAAGATTATCGACGACCCGGACTGCATTTATGTCATATTGGAGTATTGCCCAGAGGGTGATTTGTTCTACAATATCACTGAATGTGGCCAGTATGTGGGTAAGGATGATCTCGCCAAGAAGGTGTTTCTCCAGATCCTGGATGCCGTAGAACACTGCCACAACCTGGGAATCTACCATCGGGATTTGAAACCAGAGAACATTCTCGTCACGGACCACGGCGAGACTGTCAAGCTCGCAGACTTCGGCCTAGCCACGTCATCTGATAGATCCGAGGATTATGGCTGCGGTTCAACATTCTACATGTCTCCAGGTAAGCTTCCGAAGGCCGTTCCGAGTCCACTGCCAGCCCAAACTGCCCCCATGATCAGCAACTAACCTTTCCTCTTTTCCTTTTCTTAGAATGCCTGGATCATTCATCCCGGAGGCCGTTTTACTATTGCGCCCCAAATGATGTCTGGAGCCTTGGAGTTATCCTGGTCAACTTAACCTGTGGCCGCAACCCGTGGAAACAGGCCTCGTTCGAGGACTCAACCTACCGTGCCTACACGAGGAGCCCAGGATTTCTGAAGACCATTCTTCCCCTGTCGGATGAACTGAACGACATCCTAGGGAGGATTTTCACCCGGTACCCTGAGCAGCGAATTACCTTGCCCGAATTACGGGCACGGATATTCTCCTGCTCCAGGTTCACCGAATCACCCGCACCGGTTATGCCCATGCCACAGGCGCTGCCTACGCAAGCTGCTTCACCGGAGCACACCACTGTATACGTTGACTGTGAGGATTCGATCGTCGACCATTATGAATACGACGCTCCCCTCTCACCGGCTTCTTCGGCCGACTCACTATCGGACGAGGGGTCAACCTGCTCGTCTGATGATGGGTCGCTGACATCCAGTGTCTCGACCATTGACGACTTGGACGATGACGATTTTATTCAGGAGCCTTCGGAGGATGCCACAACCCACCAGCCGGAAGTCCAACCGGCCATCTACGAACCAGAAGAGCCAAGGCTAGGGAATTATTCACAGGAGTTTTGCCATTTTCCAGGAGCTATGCCAGAGCCCATTATCCAGTCGCAGATGCCGACTGCAGCACCTCCTAACTGTGCGCCGAAGTATTTCCCCTTCATCTGGGATATGTTCAACAAGTACGCGCAGCAGCCACAGCAACTTCAACACACTGTTCCGTTCCATCACCAAGTTCCGCTCTTCACTTCGCTCCAGGGATGCTACTAGTTCCTTGATTCACATGTACTAGCATCGTCTTGTCTAGATGACTCGATGCCGTCCATTCCTGGGCCAAACACTGGTTCTTCCCACTTATTCGGGACTATCTGCAACAGGATTGGAGGCCCATGTACTAAAGTTACTCCCATCCGGAACCATCACCTCATCACCACGTTTGAAAGGCAACAAATACCTGCTGACTTTCAGAGGTACGCTACGCCACACATTTTTACTACTTATCCCAAGGACCTGAATACGAGACCAATCCACGGAAAAGGAACAACTTGAAAAGTTTCATTATACCTATGAAAAAGGACAAACAAATCCCCGGATGTTTTTACTGAACAAACACTGATTTTCACCCAATGTATCTAAATTTGAAACTTCAAGGAGTTTTATTGTTTTCATTTGTTTATTTTTTGCAGCAAGGAGTTGGCAAGGTGTTCGTCAGACTGGACATTGCCTAAGAGTTTGGGGGATATGCTACAAGGACTTCTGTGCCCGGATGGTTACTCTTCTTGTTACAGAATTTGGTTGAGGGTATTTTCAGGGAAGCATTGTCACTCGGAGCAGGGGATACAGCAGTGGAGTTCAAATGGCTTTGAAAGAAAACGGGCGGATATTCCAATCCCCTCCAGGAGGGCCTCTCGACCATTTTGCCGCACAAACCAAACATTACAGGCTTTAATCAACTCTCCTCTTCTTGGGCGGCTAACCACCATAGAGGTTACGGGATGGTGTCCGCGACGTCCTCTTCGGATGATACCAGCTTTTTCTTATTTTCATGTTTGAGAGTTTGAGGCTTTGTTCTTTCGAAGGTTGGAAAACGAGTGACGGCAAGACGCGCAATGGGATTACGAGCTTTAGAGATTCCCGGGTCAACAGCCCACAACAAACTTCATGCGCTCAGTGCGCAAACTATACGTTAAGTCCTCTCTGAAGAGACGCTATCAAAGACTTCATCAAAACGATGACAGGCGCTCGAGCAGAAGGACAAGGATAGGAGTTTTGCCATAGCAACTTCATCCACAAAATAAAATATCACGTTTGGAGAGATTAACTTCAAACTCTAACAACACAACTACTGTTCTCGATCTGCGCTTTACTCTGATGTGACTTAAGTGATTTAGAGATATGTACGTAAGGCATTGAACGAGTGCATTAGGAACAGACCTGACCTGGCCTCAGTTCAATGACATTACACAACTATTTCCATCTAACACTGCCTCTCCCAATTTCGCACACTCAGCAGCTTCTGCATAAACTCTGTTGATCAACAATAGCGCACCTTAGCTGCCCAGATTAATTCTACAGGTACAACACCAGCCTTTCTCTTTCCATGTGCGCGTTCGACGCCAACGGAGACGGCACTCCCAAAGACCCTCAGAAACCTCGTGGTGAGAAGGCCACCCCAGTATCGCCATGGCATGATTGGTCCGCGGGGAGGACGCCACCTCGCCTTACTTTCTAACCCCATGTCGCTGTTTCTATACGTCCTGACGCACTCTGGCGCACCTCATGGGAGACCACATCCCGGAGATGGGGCTTGCTTGCATGGTGCCCAGTCAGCCGGTCGCTCCTCATTTGTCGGCTCTTGCAGCTCCTCCCACACCACGCAGTTACACCACCACCCACCTCTTGCGGGCATGATCCTCGGGGGCAGGTTGAACAGCCCAAGCCGTCTCTCAGTCGCTGGTCCTCCAGAGAGTTCTTGTTTCTTCCTGTCTGTTTGTCCACCCCCCCGCCCGCAGCATGCAGCCTGCTTCTGTGCGCATGCAGGTGAATAATATTACCTCGCTACGACATTGGCAGAGGATAGCCACTTACGGGGAAAGAATCAGAAGCAGGAAAAGCAATATGGCAACCGTTGCTGGGGAGGCCTGGTCTTGGGCTCTTTTCGATGCAGCTCATCCAAATCAACTTGTGAATGCGCTGCGCAGCCATCAGCCGGACGGATGCATTGGCCGTTGAACAAGGTTCAGGAGCCCTTGTCTTTCAACCTGACGCTGCTAAAATATTACCGTCATCAAAAACTCACCCCTTGCGTATTTCCCCGGGCGAGAAAGGCTCGTGGCACAAGCAGCTACAGTAGTCTGTCTAGTTCGTCCATCCTCAGCACAAGGCACTAACTACGTGTAAGTGTGTGCGAAGTCTCTCTGCACATGCACAGAGGCTGGTCTGCCATTGCACAGGTGTCGAATCGTCAGAGGCAGTCCACCAGCCATCTGTTCTGCTATCAATCAGCCCGTGGCACCATGTCATTTTCGCTGGTCGCCCGATCGCGTGCAGCTTTAGCCTGGCTCCTAAGTCCTAATCTCGTGCGACAGCCAGACGAGACGGACGATGGTGATGATGGGGGGTCCTGAGGATCTGCTGGGCTGCACCACGAGCAAGGTGCATCCGTGGTGAGAGTGCGTGCTTTCTCTCATGCACTGATTGATGTATGCAGACAGTCAAGAGCGGCTGGGGCCTCTCTGCACGACTCCTGCACCTCCGGTAGGTTGGGATCGAGGAGCTGCACTTACAGGCGTAAAGTGCGTGCATTAGCTTTGGGCTACGTACTGGGCTCCGTCAATCCCTTTCCCGTTTCGGCCCAATCTTAACGCCTACGATGCGGCAGCTCCCCAGTTCTGTTGTCTGCTCATTCTCTAGGTTCGGCTCTAACTGTAGCACTAAGACTGTGCCCTTTGTCTGCCTCGGGCGAATCATGACTGCAAGCCATTTGCCCCTCGCCTGCCTACCAGAGCGCAGAGTTCAACGGCAGGGTGGAGTTCCTGCGCGTCGCTGGATCGAGAGATAGTGGGATGGTTCTGGTGCGCGGCGGGCGCGATTGGGCGCCGCCATGGGGAAGAGAGAGGACAATAAGGGGCCCACACAGGCGGTGAACAATAGCTCAACCGTCCTCGCCCTCCTGGTTGGCTATCTGGGACTCTAGAGGGGTAACGAGATGATGCAGAGGGGGCTCAGGCAGTGAATAATGGATCGAGATAGTATGGTGGTGATGGTGGGTTGGGTGTGTCTGCTGGTCTCCACCTGGCAATGTCCCATTTCTGAAGATTCCGCCCCATCACTCGATCATGGCTGGCCAAGCCTGTCGTCAGTACGGCCTGATTGCGGACTTGTGCCTGGGACTACTAGGTAGTCTACTCTACGCTATACTGGCGATGCCACTACCGTGGGCTGACACTGCCTGGTGCTCGATGCTGGCTGCCACTCCTGTTCGCCAGACGACGGGCATCCCATCACGGTAACCTGGCGAACAGCAGACGGGTTCTACTCCCATTGGGCAGGACGGGAGATTCGACTGTACCGTTGCCGGGCGTCTCGAACATCACTCACCCTCCTCACCCTCGTCCCCCCAAATCAGGAGACGAGCCGGATTGGCTGGCTACGAGATGAGAGCCCGCGTGTCGACCTCGTGACGTGGTTGCCGATAAACCCAGTCCTCGCGAGTGCACAGGTCTGACCTACGACACATGCACCTCATCGCAGGAGGCATTAACGGCGCTGGGACTGGAGGCACCGTCCTGACTTGGAGACATCTCGCCACACACCTATGCAGCTTGGGTTTGCTAAGCTCCTGATAGTCTAGAGAGCAACACGGCCAAAAAGCAACTGCCGAGAGTCTCTTTGTTCGCAAAGCAAGATGTGGCTGTTCATCGAGATCACATGCGGGACCTCAAAGCTGAGTTGATTTAGATGGGCGAAGCGGCCAAGTGGTCGTTGCCATCTCGATTTGCTCCTTATCGAATGTGAAGACCGGGAAGGTCTTCCGACCGTTATTGCCCTGATTTCCTCGCCATCCAATACCAAGCTTGAGATCGCTTATTGCCTCTGCGACTGATGGCAACCTTGGTGTGTACGGCCTTTGTGTCTCGTTGGCCACGTCTCTGTTCAGCCTTCCATCCGTGTCTCGCTCTCCTCCGGTGGTAACCTTGGGGAGAGGCAAGCCTTGGAGGGGCTCTATTGTTTGGCTCCGTAGTCAAGCGCCATTCATTGTGTCTAAGACAACGCTAGGGATATAGCGATCAAGAGAGACGCATTGCATCGCTGTGTAGAGCTACGGTGTTGAGGTAAGGGAGATGTCTATCAGTGCGCCACCAGGGTCTCAAACAGAGAACACCAGCCATGTACATCAATGTCGTGGAGAGACAAGCCCTGACGCCATCGTACCATGGTCGCGGGGTCGGTCGTCACAAAAAGAATTGTGGTGATCCAGCTCAGGTTGACTGGAAACTATCATGTTCAACATTAGCCTTCTCCTTATCTGAGACTCAAGCCTGCCGAGCAATGCAGTAGCTCGGGCATGCACGGCCGGATGACAACCGTCTCCAGTCCCGGACTGTCCGGCATACCAGCCCCGAACGACCGTGCGGACGCCGGAGCCTGCGCCACTTCCCATAGGGGGGCCAGGCGAGCCAGGGAACGCTCATGCTCTCGAAGGAGGGCAAAGCCACACCTGCTTAGCGTCTGTCGAAGAGGTCTGGAACTCAGCCTCGAGAGCTTAGTGCCACAGCCGAACCTGATTTAGGATCACGAGTGCTCGTTAGCGGGACCGCAGGTGTCCTATTGTTGGAGCCCATTCAGAGTTTATTTCGTCTTTCGACGGTGTGTTTTTCTTTTCCTTGGTCCCACTCCTTAGCGGCAATCACAGTTTGATGTTTGCGGTTCCTGCGGATGTGGCTTCAGACTTTTGGCTACTGCTTAGCGATCCGCGACAGGACCAGCGCGGAGATACTTGATGGTCATGATGGCGCTTGACTTGATCATCACATCAGCTGGAAGAAGCAAGATGTGCCAACCATTTCTTCTGATACCCGATAAGCATGGACAGCGTATATGGAATATTCCCTCCACATGATTGTTAGTCTATCCAGGCTAGTCATCACTTCCCAGGAAGCGGAGCATTGCACACGCAAGACATTCCTTGGGAGAGCGCTAGTTAGAGGACACGACGCCAGTTCGCGTTCATATGGCTCGAAGTTGCCTGACGTCCCGGTGCCTGCATATACTCGCTTGGCAAGTTGGAAGCGTACAACTCTAGCCGGATGGCGCTGCTGGTGTTGCGAAGTGAAGGTCCTGCAGCTAGTTAGTGGCTTCCCAGCGGGAGAATCCCCCCTTGTGTCATGACTCGTGGCATGGTGGAGCAACAGGTCATCAATGGTCTACTACAGAACTGGCTCTGGGACGACTGGGAAGGTTTTGTCCGTCAGCAGGAAGTCTGATGAAGCTAGGCCAACATGAGGCTCGATTGCGCACGCACCAAGAAGCTACTCTGATCATGACAGTGCTAGTGCTCGTCTCCTGTGAAAGCCGATACGAGATTGCACTTGTAATGTTTACGCAATGTGAAGAGATGCTCCTCCGAAATTCAACGGACTTGTCGGATCTCTTACTTCTGCTCTAGCTAATGCTAGCATGATGTTTTCTCACTTTACGGGATGCCCGGAGGTGTGAGGTGGATGATATGGGCACTAAGGATGTACGCTACCTGGGTGAGGGCTTACACTCGGGGACTGACGAAACTTGCAATATTCTCTTGCTCTCTCTTGTTCTATTGGGGTGGAAGTTGCGGCTCATCAAGCAGTACCATTACAGAACTCGGGTTATCCTTTGACCCGATTCCGAAATTCTCTGTATGTTTCTGTTGAAGAACGATGAGAGGCACTGCAATTCATCACAGCCGGTAGACAGAATCATGAATGAATGGGCATAAGTCAATCAAGCCTTTTGAACTATGAAATGAAGAGATAAAAGTCCTGGTAATAAAACTGAAAATTAAACCCCAGTCAGAGGCGGTTGGTGTGGATATCGTGCTTCGCTACCCCCTTTTGCCAATATTTGTCGTGATCAGAGGTGATTCACTCCCCAAACTCAAGTTCAAACTTGCCAATTTCTCACAGCCTTGCAACCGCGTTCGGGTTCGATATTGCCTTGCCTTGTTCATCCAACCATTCCTCGGTGCTCAGCACTCACGAGGATGGCCCGATGACCACTGACCCAGCACCAAGAATCGGCCATCCTGGAACGGTCACGCCCATCCCCTGCAGAATCGTCACGATATTCTGCATGATGAGGAATACAGGGACCGGAATTGTTCCCGAGCCGTACTTCCCATACTTGCTCTCCAAGTCGTTGATAGCCGCAAGCAGGCCCGCAGGATCGCTGACGGGAAGCTGGCGGGTCGAAGGCTGGAGAGGACCGCCAGGAACAGTCGGATCAGGGGTAATGGGACCTCCAGGGACAGTTGGGTCCGGAGTAATGGGGCCACCAGGCACCGTCGGGTCCGGCACCAAGGGGCCGCCAGGGATGGGATTGCCTGGAGTGAGTGTTGTCCAGCCGGGGACGGTCTGGCCGCAGTATTGTAGCGCAGAGACGATGAGCTGCTCGATGAGAAAGATGTTCTGGGGAGATTTGGCTGGTGAGCCGTACATCGTCTGAAGAGCTGCAAGCGCAGCCTTCAGGCCTACAATGTCGGTGAGTTCACAAGACGGCGTGCCAATAGTGAAGATCCCATCGCCCTGGCGCTTGCCTGGCACAAGGGTAGTACTTGTTCCCAGCGGCGACTTGTCAATGGAGATGCCCCAGAAATCCAGGGCAGTGGCCATGTTCTGGAGAACGAACCAAGTCATGCCAGTTGCCTGCTTCCCGTTGAGACTCTGGGTCAGCGCCTTATACGCCAGTTCGAGGCCCTCAAGGTCGAATCCGGGATCGCGGTTGGTGGGTAGAGCAATATCACGCTTTCCAGGACGAATTATCGTGGTCGTACCATCAGGAGAGGACACAATCTTGATACCGCATGCGGAGAGATAGCTTTTCAAATTGTTCATGACAAAGTACTCGTGAACAGTTGGGGCCCTGCTCGATGTCGCATGAATCAAATCCTCAAGGGCAAGCTCTGCGCCGGTGACATCAGCGCACCAGCCGCTCGGGCTGTCATCAGGAAGCTCGAATATCTGACGCTTGCCTGGTGTGATTGTCGTGATAACACCCGGATCAGCGTCAATGTTAGTAATACCGAGCTGCGCAAGAGCAGACTTCAGTTGCTTCAGCTTCGCCTCCTCCGCGGCTGTCCTGTGGTTTTTATTTTTCAAGGTGATATACTGCGTCTCGAGGTCTTTGATGATATCTTTGAGATTCTGGTTATTGTCTGGCGGGAGGACGAATGTCTGACGCTTCGGTGGCTTGAAGCCTCCGGTAATCGTTCCAGGAAGGATGCAGATGTCGAAATACTTCAGGATATCAGGAATACAGCTTGCAGATGGTGCTGGATCTGGAGCAACACCTCCTCTCTCTTGAATCGTCCTGGATGGTGCCGGGGCAGCCCATGTTGAGGCTCCGAGCCCGAGGAGGGCTACGGTGATGCTTTGCCCAAGCATGGCAATTGACAGACGATAGCTGATAGGAACAATCTGTTCAAGGTAGATCGTTCGTCGAGAAAATATAAACTTTTAGAAATGCTGTTGAGCTGATATATCATCCAGTATGTAATTCGGTGGGTCAGCCATGAGCCTCTCAGCCATATTCTCGGTTCGTGGAGAAAATATTTATAGAATTCATATCGCTGTCGCCCCTCACATAGAGATAACGTGAAAGCCCAGAAGTCTGGTGATGCTCGCAATGGCCAAATCATTAATGTTAATATCGATAGATTAGGTTTCTGAGAGACGGAGGCAAGTTTGTTATATACCCGGCGCGATTTACCCGCCCCAAAACCGTTGAGTTTGTGTCATGCTTCTGGCTCGGCCACCTGCTCAATCAGGTGGCGGGCTAAATTTTCTGGTAAGTAAAGAAGGAAATAAGGTTGCATTCATCAATGAGGCTATATCAAGAAGCCTGGATCTGGCCATGAAAGCTTCAGGTTGGTCGGTGATGGACCACCGTCGCCAACCGGTGCCGAATGTTGAGGCTGGAAGCAGCGACGAATGATCCTATTTTTGGACACACCTGAAGCCTAGCCGCATTTGTAGGTGATGGAAACATTCCCTACTCACTGCAAATGGCAATGGTAAATGAAGGGAGCGTGCCATCGAGTCTGGAGAGCGGTCCATTTGTCGCTGGCTAAGGGTTTTAATATCAAAACGGAGAGCCCAGCCCAGGAGTGAAGTGAGAATGCGACACTGGGGGATGTATGGTGAAAGATGAGATCGGTTATGTTGAAGACTATTGGGCGTCTCCTGAACCAAGGTCTGGGCTAAGCGTGTAGGAGAGTGACACTCTCAAACTTTATCCGGACGTCGCTCTTGCAATGGCCAGGTACGCGGCTGGCCTGGGGTGATTTGATAAGATTCAGAGCCGACCACTAGATTTATGTCGCCTTTGGTCTTCCAGAAATAGAACAGCATTACCCGCTCGTGACCGACGGAGTAGTTCAACTGATGGGAATATTCGGAACCAGTTGCAAACCCCTGAAAAGGTGACTGAACTCACACGATCCACGGGCCATCTAGCAGTGTCCGGCTCTATCAGGGACCCAGAACACAACCTGTAATCCATCTCGATATGCACTCAAGTGAAGACCCATGCATCAGTTGTCCAGTCCGTTCTGGGGAATCACGGAAGTATTATACGCTAGGAGCGTGCATTTCCCTATCAATGCACTGGAGAGATCGAGAGTAATATTTGTAGTCACGCAATCCGTGACGTGACGCATTGACCGCAAATATCCGACAATTTCTGCACTTAGAACTGAAGGCAAGGAGATTCGTCCCACGGTGAGGGTACACTGTGCTATCCTGGAAGATCTATCGATGCAGCTGATTTATTAGCAGTGTTATGTGTCTATTATGCGTGATCAGCAACTTGTCGAATCCTATCAGATGAAAAGCATCATTCATGTCCCTGACGCCTTGTACGCCATCTAAAGCACATACACAGGGCAGACCTGCGTCATACAAGCCTACGTGCGCCCCTTTATGCTACGAACGATAACTTTGCGTCCGTCCAGTTGCCAACCAACACCGTCAGTGACCAAGTCTGACCAGGACGAGCCTGTAGACTTTTCAAGAAACTCAACATCGACGGAGAGATATGTTCTCCCGAAACACTTGAGCGTGTGCCTTCGCATCTCCGCTTCAGAGAACTCCATCAACTTGGCCTTATGACCGTCTACACTGCGTTGAATCCTCCTGAATGCGACGTAATTGTCATGAGCCAATGACTTGAGGATTCCGTCTACCTTACTGTCTCGCAGTTTGTATCGATTCCGGAGATAGAACGCCTCATCCAGATCCCCTCTTCTACATGCCGCATCAAGCACGAGATAGCCAGTCACCTCGCGGAGCTCCAAGGTCGTGAGCGGATGCTTCGAGTGGATGAAGCGGAGTAAGTGAAGAATTGCTGGGTGGTAACTCTCAGCGTTCTTCACCAGCAATGCAAGACGGATGCAGAACAGATACGCCTGCGTGGCAAAGTCGTCGGCGCGCTTCGAGGCGACTATGCCCTCTCTAAGCTTGCGCAGCGCCATCAGCACGTCCGACAATCCCTTGGTCTCTGCTACGTTGGATGGTGTCGGGAACGGTGGGGCAGGCTGATGATCCTTGTTCGCAATAGACAAGGATGCGAAGCTCCGGAGGAGCGACTCTCCATCACCAGCATCAGAGCAGAAGCTGAGATACCGCTCAACGATCTTTGTGTAGTAGCGCTCCTGGGTCTTGAAGTCCAGAAGCCTTCGAGGACGATGTTAGAGCCAGTATAAGTCGATACATTGGATGCGGGGCAGCTCTACCTCGAGTCACCCTTGGACGGTAGGCCCATGCTCTCCAGCGGGTCAAGGTTGGCGGGTTTGAGGCGCTGCCATGGCCCCGGCGGCCCTCTACTTGCCATCTCGAAAATCAATGCGACGATTATCTAGTTGCACATGTTCAGGCTGGATTGATAAGTCTTCAAGAAGCATTCCTGTCGAGATCGGCTGAAATAAGAAGGAGTATGGTGACGGGATGGAGGAGGGAGGTTCAATTTCTTATCTAATCTCCACGTGCGTGTTTAAACTGAATTTCGGTCGCTGCTTCTCCATCCTCATATCTTGCTTAGCATTGAGTGTTCTCGAGACATTCTACTAGCCCATCACATCTCAAGTCGATGCTTTGATCGACAAATAACAAGGATTCATCAACGACTGCTCTACTATATTTGAGATGAGAGGACTGTTCTCGTTGATATTGTGTGATGTGAGCTCTTCACTTCATGCACTCCTGCTATCCTTCCCCACAAGTGCGGGGAACATTATCCGCGGAGAGAAACCTCGGTAAGGTTGGGGAGAGCTTCTCCAAGCCCGGGACAAGCATTTGTTCGCCGGTGCGGCCTTGCCGGCGAAACTACGATGTAGAGGTTCTTTCGTACACTATTTCTTTACATGTCAGCGCATCCATTCTTGCGGGTAGAAGATCAAGATATCTCAGCCTGCCGCTCAATCGCAGATTTGCAAGATGGCCGACCGTATTTCTCAGATTGCAGGACACCTCAACTACCCCAAGGGGTTGATGGCCGGCCAAGTTGCCATCATCACCGGTAGTGGGCAAGGAATTGGTGCCGAAGCAGCCCGGCTCTTTGCGAACGAGGGTGCATCTGTCGTTGTATCTGACATTGACGCCACCAAGGCCAAGGAGGTTGCCAACAGCATCAATGCCTCCGGTGGGAAGGCACTTGCTGTGCCGGGCGACTTGATGGACAGCAACTACATCAACGAGCTGGTCAAGAAGGCCGCCGAATTCGGCAACGGCAAAATCCACGTCATTGTGAACAATGCGGGCTACACATACGACGGCGTCATCCACAAGATGACCGACAAGCAGTGGGACACAATCCTACACCTACACGCAAAGGCACCCTTCCAGCTCGTGCGAGCCGCCGCACCGTACTTCCGTGTCAAGGACGGCGAGCCGAGGTCGATCGTCAACATTTCTAGCACATCGGGCATCCACGGTAATGCCGGCCAGGCCAACTACGCCGCCGCGAAGGCCAGTGTCGTCGGTCTATCGAAGACCATCGCGAAGGAGTGGGGCCCTGCGTTCGGCGTGCGCGCCAACACCATTGCCTATGGACATATCTTGACACGCCTGACGCAGGCGAAGGAGAAGGGTGCATTTGTCTTGGGGCCGGACGGCACGAAGATTGCTCTGGGAATTCCGGAGGCCATGCAGGGATCAAAGGATGCACATGCTGATATCGCGCTCAGGAGGCCGGGTTCCGCAACTGAAGCAGCATCAGCGATCCTGGCAGTCGCCAGCCCACTGTTTAGCTATGTGACTGGCCAGACGATCATGGTCACTGGAGGAAGGAATATGTAGACTAAAGAGCCAATTAATTCGATGTTGTGTCAGAGCGATGCTACTACCGCCGTGTAGATTTGAATAGTCGAGACATTTTCCTTACATCGGTGACCCTTCTCTTTGCTGTTGTAGATCGCTTTCAACCGAGCTCTGCCAAGGATGTCAATGCCATTATTAGGTTCGTTGATGCTATTTTTTTCGCCCAAACTCCATATGCATATTACACTGCGTTTTATCAGACAGACATAAACCCACAACGCAACGTTTCCACGACTACCATTCAAACTCTCGCCCACAAAGAGAAGACACCCTTGGCATATTCCACGATCTCCTCTCCCCCCAGCTTCGAGTCGCCAAATACACGGTCTACAAAGGTAATCGGCACCTCTGCAATCGTGAAGCCCATTGCCTTCGCCGTGACCGCAAGCGCCATCTGCATGCTGAATCCACGCACGTCGGTGCTCTCGAACAGCTTCTCCAGCACGCTGCGCTTGTATAGCCTGAAGCTTCCCGTTAGGTCGCTGACGCCGGGGCGCAGGACGGTGTCGGCGAAGATGTTGGCACCCTTGCTTGTCAGCTTGCGCTTGAGATCCCAGCCGTAGACGCCGCCGTCGGCGGCGTATCGTGTGCCCGTGACGATATCGTAGTCGCCCTTCTTCTGCGTCGCAATCATCTGCGGGATGAACTTGGGGTGGTGACTAAAGTCGGCGTCCATGATGATTATGTAGTTGCCCTTGGCAAACTGCAGGCCGTGCACATAGGCGGTGCCCAGTCCCAGCTTGCCTGTGCGGGTTTGCAGGATGACGTGCGGTGAGTAGGCCTTGACGAGCTGCTTGGCCACGTCTTGCGTGCCGTCGGGCGAACCGTCGTCGACGATGATGAGCTCCCAATTAATCTTGCTGTAGAATTGATTGTGGTTAGCACAACCAGAACTTCTCTAAAGAGGACCACGGCCACCTCGCACAGCCAGTGTCAGTAGCCTAGGAGAGACATACTTCTCTGTGAATGTGCGGTTCAACAGCCAGGTAATGATGGGCAGGTTTTGGCGCTCGTTGAAAGTGGGTAGGATCACCGAGTAGGTGTCCTTCGCAGGGGCCTTGGGCGCCATTGGAAGAAGTTTGCAAGCTGACAAGATTCAAAGAAAATGAGTTTCAAGGAGAGTCAAGAATTGGGAGGAATACGTCGGCCAGAGAGCAGAATGAACGTTGGCGAGGTTTGGCAGGAGCGCGTCGTATCGTGTCCTCAAGCTAATCGACCTACAGCTTAAAGTTCGTGGTCGCAGCCAGATGACTAAGCTGGTACCTTCCCCTTTTCTCAGCACGGGCCACTCTCACCGACTGTCCACTTCCATGAGGTCGCCAAGAGCAGAGACTTGTGTTATCTCGAGAAATATAGGTGTTTTTGAGTTCCGTATTTTAGACAATTATTATATTATATAGAGTCTAGTGTGAGTATCGTGTATGAAAGAGAAAATCCACAAATAACCACCCTCTATATATGCCCTCTACAACATCTCATGCCTGTTATCATCACCCATATCTCTAGTCATGCAATCGTCTATACAGCTGAAGTAGGCCTCTCTACCGATCGCGTTCGCGATGTAAGTCCGTTGCTGTGATCTGTATCCTTCCTCCCAAAGCTCCGCCAGCTCTTCAAGCTGGAGAAGCTCATCGTCTTCCTGAACCTGCGCCCATCCGTATCTACGCTTCCCTGGGCGAATGGTCCGACCACGACGGCGTGGTCGTCAAGGATCTTCCAGTGCCGCTTAGCCATCTTCCACAGCTCCATGCCCGCCACGAAGACGATGGTGAAGCCCACGACCAGCGCCCACTCCCAGCTGATGGGAGCGTGCTTGAAGAAGGTCTTGTTGAGGCCGGGGATGTAGACCGTCAGGAAGACAGACACCATACCGACAGCCACAGCCCAGAACAGGAACCTGTTCTCGTAGACGTCCTTGAAGAAGGGGAACCTGCTCTTGCTGTCGACCTGCAGCGCGAACATGGACCTGCGGATACTCTTGAACTCCCAAGCGGAAAGGAGAATCAGCCAGGTTAGCTCGGCGAACACAGCTGCTCGAGCGCGGAACACAGGCAGGCATTCATCAGAGTACTTTCTATTGCAGTCAAAGCCGAGATTACCATCGTAACGACCGTAGATGACGATGACGAATGTCATGAGTGTGCAGACGCCCATCAATGTACCATACACCATCATGTCAGCGAGGATCTGGTTGGTGAAAACGCCGCGTCGGCGGTCATGCGGTGGCTTCTTCATGACGTCGTTGCTGGCCTTCTCCCGACCTAGACCAAAGGCAGGAAACGAGGATGTGAGCATGTTGATCCAGATAATCTCAAGAGGACTGATGGGGAAGACGGAGAAGCCCGATCTGTCACGGAAGGCAAGGCCAACGATAAGCAGAATGACTTCACCGACATTTGATGTGAGCAGGTGCAGAATGAACTTCTGAATGTTATCAAACATGCGACGTCCCTCACGAATAGCAGCGACAATGGAGTTGAACTTGTCATCTGTCAACACGATCTTTGCAGCAGACTTGGCGACGTCAGAGCCGCTACCCATGGCAATACCAACGTCGGCGCGAGAAAGTGAAGGGGCGTCGTTCACTCCGTCACCGGTCATGGCCATAAAGGCGTTTCGGCGGCGAAGTGCCTCAATCATACGTGTTTTGGTATCAGGAGCGCAACGTGCGATGACGAGAGGCAATTCCTCTAGTGAATCGATTTCCGAGTCAGTCATTTTGTCGAAGTCGGTAGCCTTCATAACACAGTGTTCTGCCATGCTGTCAGGTAGGACTGACATGTTAGCCGGGATGATACCGACTTCACGAGCGATAGCCCTGGCGGTTGAAGGATGATCACCAGTAAGCATGTGAACCCGGATACCAGCAGATGAACACTCTCGGATTGCAGGTGTAGTCTCACGACGAGGTGGATCGTAGATACCAGCAAGACCAAGCAGGGTGAGGTTGGATTCGACTTGAGTGCGAAGTGCGTCATCGGCGGCTTCACCACCGGGTGCGTGGCCGGCGAAGCGGCCCTCCCACTTCTTGCCTGCGATGGCAAGCACGCGCAAGCCCTGAGACGCCAAGTTGTCCATTCGCTTGAGGATCTGCTCCTTAAGCTCGTCTGTTACCGGCTGCCGCGAATCACCGATGCCAACATAGTCGCACATATCAAGGATTCGCTCAACAGCACCTTTGGTGAAGATGACACTGTTCTCGGGAGTGATGCCAAACTCATCTTGCTCAACATCCTCAGGGGCATGATACACGACCGACATTCGCTTTATGGAGCTGTCGAAAGGAAATTCAGCAACTTGCTTCCATCCTTTCGCCAGTAGACCTTTCTTGCCCTGCTCGAAGCGGTGAGCAAAGACCTGCAGAGCTATCTCCGTTGGCTCGCCGGTTGCTTGCCATTTGCTTGCCTCTTTATCATAGCGCACTGTGGCTAGGTTGCAAAGAGCAGCAGCTAGTAAGAAAGCCTTGAGATCCGGCGTGAGCTCAGCCTCATTCTCTTCCTTGTCCTGTGGCTTATTCTGCCGAAGCTTTTCCTCTGGCACGTCGAACTTGAGTGCCGGGGCGCTTCGTTCTTGATCGTAATCTCGCACTTCCTTCTTCTCGGGCTCGTCGAGTGGCTTCTTCGCGTATGTGACACGACCGGCTGTTGGGTCCGCAGGGTCTTCGGAGTCTTTGACAGAATAAATGCTTTCAAATGGAAGCCAGACTTTACGCACTATCATGGCTCCTCGTGTGAGTGTACCGGTCTTGTCAGAGCAGATGTTAGTGACACCACCAAGGGCTTCCAAGGCGGAGAGATCCCTGTATCAAGAGTCAGTTTCAAGAATAGACGATTATTTTGGGGGCTCACACATACCGGACAACTACATTTGCTTTACGCATCACAGTGGTAGCCACGACCATAGTAATTGTGAGCACAGCAACCAGACTTTCCGGGATGATGGCGATTCCAGTGGAGATGGCATAAATAATGACCTCATTCTGTGCCTTGAACTTGTTCACACCGAAGACAATCAGAGCCAAGACTAATGCACAGGCGAAGAGCATGTAAGCCAGCTTGCTTAGTTTCTTCTGCAGCGGTGTGCCCTCTGTAAGGCCCAGAAACTTGCCAAAGAAGTCATACAATCTGCGCAGCAGGCCAACTACCGGAGCCTTCTTGCCATATTTTCTCCAGTTCATGGAACGGCCTGGCTTCCGGTGTTTCTTGGATGTAGAAGCGGCAATCTTGCCAACTTCTGTCTGCATGCCAGTCGCAATGACGATGCCGCGTCCACGACCCTTGCGTACAACAGTAGTAGCATATGCAATGTTGATACGGTCACCAATGCCGACTTCCTCTTCGGTCGTCGCGGGTTTCTCGGTGCCTGGAACATGGATCTCATTTTCTGTAATCTTCTCAACAGGGGCGGCTTCGCCAGTTAGAGATTGCTCGTCACAATTCAGGTTCATAGCCTCGAACAGGCGCAGGTCAGCAGGAACGGTGTCTCCCATCTTAAGAATGATGATATCGCCGGGAACAACCTCGGGGCTACAATTAAGGTTAGACAATGTTTCGGGGTTCTGTCGAGAGAGAATCACTTACTTTGGAATGACCTGAGTCTTGCCATCTCTCAAAACTGTTGCGCTAGGGGAAGACAGCGCCCTGAGCGCGTCCATCTTCTTCTCGGCGCCATATTCCTGCACGAACCCTACCGTCACATTGAGGACGATAACGGCGGCCAGGACACCGCCCTCAACCCAATCTTTGATACCCAGACTTAGAGCCGTTGCAAAGAACAGCACCTATTGTTCCCAGTCAGTCTGAAGTGTTAAACGTCAAGTTGCATCCCACGACTTACCAAGATCATGGCATTGAACAGCTGCCGCAGGAAGATGGTGTACCACGGAATGGCACCGCCGACGTCGAGCTCATTGGGAGGATATTTCTGAGAGAGCTCGGCCACTTGTGCCGAAGTCAGTCCCTTGTCAACATCAGTCTTGAGGGCTTCTGCTACCTCCTGAGTGGAGAGTAGGAAGGGGTGGCGCTCGAAGTCGCCAGACATTGTTGCTTGTTTTGTTTAGATAAGTTGATTTAACCCATTCAGAGAGAGCGAGAGGACAAACTCTTCGACGAGAGTTTGACTTTTGACTAAAATGCTTCTAGAAAGAGAGAAGCAAGGAAACAAAGTTTCGATATTTGTCAAGGAAATCTAGATCTCGGCTCCCACTCCTGGCGGGGGGGTGGGAGGAGGCGTCTACCTTATATGCGCCCATGTCTTACTCTGGATGGATTGTACACAATGGGCAGTAGCAGAAAGAGTCTGCAAGAGATACCCGCAAATGGTGGTTGCCAAGGCTGGGTTTTCTTGCGACATGATACATCAGCAGAGCAGGCTGGTGTTGCGAGCGCGGCGCCGAGAATACCAAGAGGCTTCAGGGTCTTGTCGCAGGTGTAGCAAGCGTGGGTAGGCAAATCAGGAGGCGATAAGAGGAGCCTGACGAGCCGCACAAGCGGCGCAGGTGGCCCTGGGGTGGCCCTGAGGTGGGCAGCCAATCTGGTGATTGGAGCTGTCCGCGTCATACCAAGACTTTAGGAAAGTCAATTGCATCGCAGCGAGTGAGCAGTAGGGGCGCACCAGAGCCTTGGCCAAGTCCTACTACGCACAACTACGCAGTGTGCAGTACGCGGAGAGCGGAGGAGGAGTCTCGGCGGAAGGCTTGGCACGGTGCTTTGCCGGATGGTCCGACTGAAGAGACTCGACAAACTCTAGAGAGTCGCCCGATTCGACTCATGCCTACCTGCAATTCCCCAGATTTGTTCCTTCACAGCAACAAACAATTGGATGATTCTGACTGCATGAAGAGTCATGGTGGCGCATAGTCGATGAAAGCGGCCTAACACCCCAGCTGAGTGGCGTGCGAGCGTGCCAGTTGTGGCTTGACCGGGCACGTGGCCAAACATATGACTCGGCAAGTGCTCGAGAAGTCTTGGCTCTTGGCAGGCCATTCCATCAGATTCGGCGAAGTCGCTTGGCATGGCTGGGCATCTGCCAGGTTGTGGGGCAGATAACAAACCCCACAGACGGGCCCAGGGAATAAGAAGATATTCATATACAGTCTGCCCTGCCCGTATTGTCTTGTCCGTCTTGTCCGTCTTGTCCGCGGCGGTTGGGAGGGGAATTACGCAGCAAGATCAGAACAAACGAGGGTCGATCCGAGATCGCTTGTTGAGAGCCAAGACTCAACATGTCTTGTCGTTGCATGGCAATGCATGGCAATGCATGGCACTGCATTGGTTGCTTATGGCTCTTTATCTTGCTCAAGATACCAAGAGACTTGGTCAACAGACTGAGGGGAACGACTCTCATGGTTTAGTATGAGATGCATCTTTGACTTAGATTTCTCGCATGGCATCAATACTTGGGCCGGACGAATGGATACACCATCGAATAAGAATGCACACTTAAGGTCGTGAGCGAGCAGGCCGACCGAGAGTGAGGCTCCTTGAGTCTGCTCCTTCGGGATGAACCATTGATCTCTGCGCGCCAATCAACAAGACTACCATATACCAACAGCCTACATATGTATGCGTTCTGTTAGCAGCCTCGGTTCAGCTCATTGCAATGCAATGAAATGCTGGTCACTGGACTGCTTTAGCTATACATACATGCCTGCGGCCTCGCGCCTTTACTGGAAGAATGGGCGCAACGAGTTGGCAAATGGAAGCCTTTCTCCGAGGGCAGCTAAGCCAGGAGTAGCATCGACTGGCTGCACGCAATGGCACATCTCCAGATTCGCTTGCCTGGGAGGCGGACCCCGGCTTATTAGCCTGTGTGTACCTGGCCCAGATCTCCCGTATGGCAACGGTACCTGGCCTCCTAACGTCGGAGCTGCCTTCTTAGCACCTTCTTGTTCTTGTCCCTGCACACCGGGTCTCTGATCACGATTCCGTGTTTTGCCCATACCATACCACAGCTTAGCTAACCTTAGTATTTACCCAGCTTGATCCTTAGCTGAGGTACCAGCCGCCCGCCAAAGAACACTAACACCGAGACCTACTTGCTTAGACATCCAAAAGCTAACTAAGGCAATAATGACCCAGCAATAATAGATCGCAGTTTCTACCGTCTTCCCGACCCGCTCCTGCCCTCTGACGGGAGCTCTCATCCGGCTCTGTGATTGGTCACATCCCTCCGTAGCACCACCGCGCGCAATGATGCACCGCATTCCAACCTCCAGACTTCACCTCTTCTCCCCCGTCTGTCCTGCTTTCCACCTGCATCATCATCCTCCATCTCCTCACCCGCCGTAGCCCTCTGCATCCCTTCTACGCCGTCTCTGGGCTCCAAACGCCTTCGAATTGATTGATTAGGAGCTGCTCTGCTGCTCTACGCCCTCTCCACCACCTCCAGCCCGCTGCCCTGCCCGTATTTCGGCTCTCCGATTACGTCATCGCAATGGCCGATGCGCAAGCTCCCGTCGTCGACAAAGGTGAGTTACAGTGACGCCCGCATCCGCATCCATCTCAATGGCTCGGGCAATGCTTCAGGCATGCTTTGAGAATCACTGCTGGCCCCAGATCTGGACTTATAGCCGATTATATGCACCTTTCCTCCCTGCCTCGCACCTTGCGCCACTCCACCTACTCCCACTTGCTGCTCCCTTGAGCTCCCAGAACTCAGCGCATAGCCATCGCTGACATCAAATCCGCCTGCCCAGTCGACCAGCCTTCAGTCCCGGTTGTCTCGAGCACCAGCGACAATGCGCCGCCCAAGGACCCCGTGGCGGACAGCTTGGGCGTGAAGCCCAGCGAAGAGAAGCCGGCTGAGCAGGCCCCAGCGGCCGTGGACCCCACTCCGTCCAAGCTCGAGGCTCCAGCTGCCGAGACTGCTCCCGTTCAGCCCACGGAGGCGCAGTCCAAACCCGCAGAGGAAAGTTCCGAGCCGGCCAAATTGACGGAGCCCGCCGCGGAGGCCAAGCCCGTGGAGCCTGCCAGCGGCGCGGAGTCCAAGACAGTCCCGGAGTGGACGAGCGCGCTGCAGAGCGAGTCCAAGCCCCCGGCTCCTGAGCCCGCCGAGCAGGTGAATGCCCCAGCGCCTGCCGAGCCCGCCAAGGACGAGCCCGTCAAGGACAGCATCATCCCGCCGGCGGCCGAGGAGAAGCCTGCCGAGACTAAGCCGGAGACGACCGCCACTCTGAATGGAGGCTCCAAGGACGTCGAGATGAAGGACGCCCCGGAACCGGCTGAGAACCTGAACGCTCCAGCGCCCGACACTGCCGAGAAACCATCCATTCCTGCGGCTACGGAGCCAGTCGCCGCCGACAAGCGCAAGGCTGAGACCAACGGCGACGAGCCTAAGGGCAAAAAGCAAAAGACCGGCATTGCTGATGCCGTCTCGTCGGTTGTCGAGTCAGCAAAGGAGACCGTTACCAAGGCCACTAACGGACCGTCTCGAAAGGACAGCAAGAAGGGTAAGAAGGATCCGGCCCCCATCGGCAAAACGCTTCGAAAGACTCGCAGCCAGGGCCCAGTTGAGACCTAACTTGATGTTGTTGTCATCTTTTTGCACTTACCCCTTGACCTTCTAAATTTAGGTCAAAAGTCAAACCAGTGCGAGGGTGAAAAAAAAACGAAAATGGGGAAAATGTGCTGGGATGAATCGTATCCCCATGTTGATGATGCATACAACGCTATACGTTTACGAATAAACGGGGCTTTTGAACAAAAACGCACACGCGGAGGACAGGCTATTTGTTGCTCATTGGCTGATGTTCTTTCTTCCCTCTTGGAACGGGGTGCGGTGGGCCGGGAAAAGGCTGGTTTTTGGTTTTGCTTTTAATCCGAATAGCTGGCTTCTAAAACTCATGCCGTCGGTGCTGGCTGCTTCTGCTGCTGGTTGCTGGCGACGAAAGACAACAATAAGGACTGGTACTGTATATACGTTAGGGTTTTTTGTTAGGTATTTTTTGAACAAATGTAACGCGTTAGTCTTTTAGTTCGACTTGCTCTATCATTGCAATGTACGAGATATGGCATTGAAAGGTTTTGAGTTGACCTTTGAGCTAAGACTTGAAGGAGACAAATCACATCCTGTTGACCCGATAGCACTGGCCAACAACCAGCGATAACGAATGGGGGCTCATAACTAACTGGGCCAATGGACTGGGTGCAGGCTATTATTGAAAGAGTGTCTAAACGAGATCACGGACGTTTTTGGGAGAAAAGTCGTTGTAGTATTTGGCAAAATGATGAGTTTGTCAATTGTCCCCGATCGGATGGGGATGGGGATGGGATGGGATGGGATGGAATCCGATCCGCCAACAATCCATCCAAATAATTTTTTTTGAAGACGGCGCCTTACAGTACAGAACAGCCACACACATCTGATATCATCATCGACACCCGGGACCCCGGGGCCGGGCTTCCTTCGGCGGGCGGGGAGACGGATAAGCAGCTGTGTAGCTGTGTAGCTGTGCCTCCCAAGGGGTCAGTCGGTGCTTATCTTACCTGACTGATTGACTGCAGTGCCACAGCTACAGCTACATGTACATAGCTATTATGGGACAGGATGGAGAAGAGAAGAAGAGCTCAGCGCGAGTCAGATCTACGGGCACTGTACCTGACTAGACATGTAGGTAGGTAGACAGGTAGGTAGGTAGAACGGTCGGTTGACACCTGTTCCCGTCCCGCGCGCAAGTCAGGGCTGGGCATGCGCTGTGTGGGAGGCAGAGGCAGAGGGAGAGGGAGAGGGAGACCAAAAGGTCTAGGCGTCTTGGACCCATTGATACCCGCGCTGTCGGGGACGTGACACGCAATCGCTGGACGCGCGTATGAGAGAGAGCGGGAGCTTTCTTCCTTATTGGGGTTTCTCTTTCCAAGGTAATAGACAACATGTGTAGGTTTACAATGGCGTGCATGTGGTAGCAAATCGCGGTAGTGGTAGTGTAGCATTTGTTTTGTAGATTTTTTTTATATTTTTTTTGGCCATGCTCAAATGCTGGACTGTTCGTTTCTCATGTAAGTCGCTTGTCGCCTCTGAGGGGGGTATGAGTACCGGTGTCTAAACTCTTTCAGCGGACGATAACGTTAGCGCTGGGTAGGCGCAGTTGCCATCCAGCATCCTCTGTCCTCCGTCGTCTGTCTTAGTCTGGCGTCCTTCAGCTGTGTCAGACAAGTTGTTAGAACGGTCATATGAAGCGTGTCTGCCCTACGGAAGCTGCCGTCAGATCCAAGACAGGAACAACGTGCAATCGTTGTACATACATAGTACATGGTAAGCGCGGGCGGGCGCACGCAGCATCTTGGGTTTCTTTGGGGGACGGCCTCAGGGTAGAGGGTAGTAGAGGGTTCAGGAGTTGGCCTACGTCCAGGGCTAATAACTGCCCGGTGTCCCAGTGTCCTAGCGGCCCTCCGAGTGCAGGTACCGGCAGTTTGAGCTGGTACAACAGGTGGGTTCACATAATTAGTACGCGCCTTTGGTCAGTTCTTTCAAGGTTTTTGCAGCGCCGTGAGTTGGTCCTAGCGGGCCGAGCAGGCTTAATAGGCAGCTGGTCAGTGGCAGATGGTCGAGACTCCCGCCAACCTGGTTTGGATCTTATAAGTTAGCGGGAAGAGACTGCCGTGGACGCTGACGCTTAGGGTACCGGCACACCGCAGAAGGGTCTTGCACAATCAGGCCAAGGACGGGCTACCTAACCTCGGGGCCGGGGAGTCTTCATTCAGTATGGGAGGATTCTTCTGTGCTTACTATGCAGTAGGTAGGTAACTTTAGTGAGAGGCAACCCTTCGCGAACAACATCTTCAAGAGATGATCTTGGCACGGTAAAAGACACGGACACGGACGCCATCTGGTGGACCGTCTGCCGGCGAGAGACTTCCGTAATAGACGGCATTTCCCTCCATCTTGCGCTTTGCTGAAGCGAAGCATGAACGAACGAGTGCCAGGTGCGGCGGGTGATTCTCGTATTCGTGCATGGGCCAACCGCCAAACCGAACGGGGGAGAGCAGAGCAGGAGAAGAAAAAAAAAGGGGAGGAGCGGATAGGCCGTTGTGGAGCAGTGGACACGACCCAAATGGCCGGCGTGGCGGTAAAAATAGCACACCTGCGCACCCTCACTCTAAGACTAAGCAGGCTCAGGCAGGTACCTAGGTGGCTCTCCTGGGGAGCCACTTAACGCCACCCTTCATCCACACCAAGATCGGGTTTTCTCCTGGATCAGCTTCAAGCCTACGCAGTAAGGACTCTCTGACTGCTCCAGGACTTACTGCGTATCATACCCACATATGTACGTATGTAGGTAGGTATGATAACCTTTGATTGTATCTTGGTAGCAGAGAAGCATAGAATACCCAGTGCTGAGCAGTTAGCTACGTGTAGCGTTAGATAGACAAAGGAGATCTGTCTGGACTCTGGAGTGGCATAGCACGGGCGATCATATCGTCCCTACTGAGTAGAGGTACCTACTACCTAGATACCCTGGCAACCCTGGCAAGCCTGGCAAGGAAAACGATGCTGATCTGAGCCTCTTTCTGTCTGGAGGGCGCTGAGAAAGTTGGAGGACGGGCTGGACGGGGTAAAGTCATGCCCCGGGGATCCACAGCCAGGATGGTCATGGTCATGGGCCATGGCCATGGCCGTGGAGTCGTGAACACGAATTAAACGTTACCAAAGGGTCATTCATTCATGCATGCAAGTCCTCTTCTCTCTCTCTCTCTCTCTCTCTTCTGAGGGCGCCCGTGTTCGTGCTGAATCGATCGAGAGATGGGATGCATTAGCTACTGTAGGTCGAGATGTATGCACAGCTACGGTAGTACCCAGGTACCCACGTATGCAGGAGATGCAAGTAAGTACAGTCATTAGACTACCTAAGGTAGAGTCGATAGATATTCAAGATGACGGATGTACCAATTGATGGAAAAATCTGATGTCTATTTCGGTACTGTACAGTACGGTACAGTTCTGTTCTGTTCTCCGGCTTGTAGGACTTGGGAAACAAACTGTTAGATATCTACCTACACTATGTATCTACCCCCATGTGATAATCCGGTCTAGCAGTCTAGACTACCAGTACCTAGACTTATCTGTCGACATACTGCGTAGTACGTAGATAGCTTTTTATGGTGTGTGTAGCTGCCCTCTCTTTTCCCAACAGACCACCACCACCAGTCTTCGACTACGTATCCATCATCTCCTTTTCCCAGTCCCTCGTTTTTTTGAAAACCACCCACTCACTCTTTGCTATCTATCCGTCCGTCCCTCACTTCCCTTTGCCCTACTTACCATTCATCCTCCTCCCCGTTCATTGCTGCTGTCCCATACATTGAACGGCTTCTTCCATCATCTCTTTATCCTTCTGCCGCTCGTTTTTTCTTGAGGGGCCCAACCGGCCGTCGATTGGCGTGTGGCGTCTACGGTCTACGGGTTACGGGCTACAGTAGTCTAGTCTCTACGCTTTTTCTTTGTCTTGCGTCACTGCATTCCTCGGCCACCTCCCCGCGTGCGCGTGTTGTTGCAGAGGCCAAGAAAAAGGGAAAAAACGACAGACCCTTCTATTTTCCTGCCCCTGTCGATTCCAGCCGGCCGTGTTCCGTGTCTTTGTTCCAGTCGAGCCAGCTGTTTATTTCACCAAAGACCACGAGACCACGCACTTTCTCGGCAGCAATCCCAAGACAGACCGAGAGAGCTGCCGACCTACCCAAGCTCGATAGATAGTCTTGACGAAGCCACGATCCCACACCAGAACTCGACCCATCCCTGCTGCGAACTACGATACCAACGCCCAATACTAGGTTCATAAGGGTCATAAGGGTCTCTTAACCACAATCTGCCCTTCCAGGGCACGGTTTACACACACAATGGATGTTTTGGCGAGGGGCCTGTCCGAGCTGGTTCGGAGGGCAGACGATGCCAGCGGAGGTGGCGACGATGCAGGCCAGCAACTGCTCAAGCTTATACAGAACCCCTTTGGCGGAGAGGTGCGTGATCGGGCCTTTCGACGACGATGCAGTCACACCTGTTTGTTACCACATGTCTCTAACTAACGTCCCATAGCTCCAAGTAAACTCCCTCTGGGCCTCCATCGCCTCTTCGCTGGGCATAACCGCCGGAATCGCCATCGCCTTCTCCTTCATACGACCCTACAACTCCGTCGTCTACGCCCCGAAGCTCAAGCACGCCGACGAGGCCCACGCCCCTCCCCCTCTGGGGAAAGGAGTCTTCGCGTGGATCGGCCCCCTGTGGAAGACATCAGAGCAAGACCTGGTCCGTCTAGTAGGACTGGATGCCACCATCTTCATGCGATTCATTCGCATGTGCCGCAACCTGGCCGTGGTTCTGGCCATCATCGGATGCTCCATCCTGATCCCCATCAGTTTGAGCAAGAGCACCCGCTTTGGCAACGACGTCTGGCTGTACCTTCTCACGCCGTCGAATCTCTGGGGCGACGCACATTGGGCCCAGGTCGTGGTGGCCTATCTCTTTGACATTGTCATCTGCGGCTTCTTGTGGTGGAACTATAGAAAGGTTCTACAACTGCGACGCACGTACTTTGAGAGCCCCGAGTATCAGCAGAGCTTGCACGCGAGAACTTTGATGGTAAGCAAATAGTACGGGTCTGCAACTAAGACTATATACTGACACGTTTGACAGCTGTACGATATCCCCAAGGCTTTCACCTCCGACGAAGGAATTGCTCGCATCATTGACTCGGTCGCACCCAACTCGTCCTTCTCGAGAACCGCTATCGCCCGGAATGTTAGAATCCTTCCAGAGCTGATCAGCGAGCATGAACGCACAGTTCGCAAGTTGGAGAAGGTTCTGGCGGTCTATCTCAAGGATCCCCACAATCTGCCAGCTGCGCGGCCAGTATGCCATCCGTCGAAGAAGGACCGATCGTACGGCACTTATCCTAAGGGGCAGAAGGTCGACGCCATCGAATACTTGACCGAGCGGATAAGAGCTCTGGAGATTGAGATCAAGGAGGTCAGGCAGAGCGTGGACAAGCGGAACACCATGGCCTATGGTTTTGCCTCGTACTCTGATATTGCCGAGGCGCATGCCATCGCATACGCGACCCGCAAGAAGAAGCCTCAGGGTGCTACCGTCTCACTCGCCCCGAGACCAAACGATGTCATCTGGGACAACATGCCTCTGAATGCGGCAACACGAAGTCGCAGAAGATTCATCATCAACCTCTGGATCGCCTTGCTGACCTTCCTCTGGATTGCACCTAACGCCATGATTGCCATCTTCCTCGTCAATCTGAGCAACCTTGGAATGGTCTGGCCCGCTTTCAAGTCCAATCTGGAATCCAACAACTCGTTCTGGATTATCGTGCAGGGTATCGCCTCACCGGCCCTGACGTCTTTGGTGTACCTGCTTCTCCCCATCCTGTTCCGTCGCCTAGCTATCCGAGCTGGTGATCAGACGAAGACGGGCCGTGAGCGTCACGTCACAGCCAAGCTATACAGCTTCTTCGTCTTTAACAACCTGATCGTCTTCTCAATGTTTTCGGCAATCTGGGCATTCACCGCTGGTGTTGTCAATCAGACGAACGATGGCGTTGATGCTTGGCAAGCCATCCTGAAGCAGAACTTTGGACAGACCGTCCTCATCACGCTCTGCAACATCTCACCTTTCTTCATCACGTGGCTTATGCAGAAGCAGCTTGGTGCCGCCATCGATCTGGCTCAGCTCTGGACGCTGATCTACAGCTTCTGCATGCGGAAGATAGGCTCTCCGACGCCTCGCGAGCTGATTGAGCTTACAGCACCGCCGCCGTTCGATTATGCGAGTTACTACAACTACTACCTCTTCTACGTCACTGTTGCTTTGGCATACGCAGGCATCCAGCCCCTGGTGCTACCTGCTGCCGCCATCTACTTCGCCATTGACCTACCGCTGAGGAAGTACCTCCTGATGTATATCTTCGTCACGAAGACGGAAAGTGGAGGCATGTTCTGGCGCGTTCTCTTTAACAGAATGGTGTTTGCCACGATGCTTTCAAATCTCGTGGTGTTCCTTATCGTCTGGGTGCGAGGCATTAACACGCATATCCAAGCCTATGCTGTGGCGCCTCTCCCATTCCTCATGATCGCCTTCAAGATCTACTGCGCCAGGACGTTCGATGATAAAATTCACTTTTACAGCACCCGATTCGTTCCCCACGCGGACAACAACCTCGAGACTGGCATCGCGGGCAAGGAGAACCTCCGCAGTGATCGTCTTGCCTCTCGATTCGGACACCCTGCCCTGTACAAGCCGCTCATCACCCCGATGGTGCATGCCAAGGCGCAGAACATTCTCGCGAGCGTATATCAAGGACGCTTGACCGATGGACGTGACGCTGGCTCCGGAGACACCATGAGTGTATCAGGCTACAGCGACACCTACGCTCTCGACCCCATGCATGCAGGCAAGCCTGGCAAGAGCGCCGCAGGTCTACCAGGGTTCGAGGTTGTACCCGAGTCGAAATTGGATTTTGAATACTACAAGAACCGAGACGAATTCGCAGCAGACCACGGCGCAGGCGAGATTTTCGGCCGGCCGAGCGACATGGTGCGGCCGGGGACGCCAGGAACGATGTTCAGCGGCGGCAGCGACTCGCGACCGGGCACGCCCGTCGGCGGCATGGGATTCGCGGGCTCGAGCGGCGGCCACCACAACAACAGGAGGAACTTCAGCCAGGCCGAGTCGGACATGGTGTACACCAGCTACGCGAGCCCACCGAACCAGTACCCCGGCCAGACCCCGCCGTACGGCTACAACGGTGCGCGCGTCGGCTCGCCGTCTAACGAGTACCCGCCGCAGAGGACGCAGTCGCCGGGCCCGGTGTACGGGCTGGCGGGCGGCAACGACTCGGCGAGCAACCTGGTGCGCAACGCGGCGCCGATGGCGAGCCCGCCGATCCTGACGCCTGGGTCTGGGGGATCTGGGTCCGGCTCAAGACAGGCGAGCCTGGACCGGGGCATGGGCATGGGCATGGGCATCGAGCGCCCGGGGAGCCGCGGCGTGGGGCGCTCTGTGCCGGGCGCCTTCGGCGGACTCGGCGGCGGCCCGCAGGGCTACGGCAACCTGCCGCAGAGCGAGCCCGAGTTCGACCAGGATCCGATGGCGTATAACTACTTCCGCGGCGGGAGGAGGCGCGACACCGGCAACTAGAGGCTGTGGGTGCTCCGGGAGAATCTTCGACGGGATCAGATGCGAGAAGGGGAAGAAGAAGAAGCAGTAGTAGAAGGGGAAGAAGGGGACGAGGAGGAGATCGAGTTGTCAAAGATGTATCATCCGTCAAAATAGCATTGGGTCCGGCGTAGCGGTCGAGAAATTTTTTGAGTTGCAGGATTTGTATAGCTCTCTCTCTCTCTTACCCCCAGGCAGGAAGAAGCGGCGAGGCACCCCCTGGTCGGGAATGGTGTGCACCAAGCAGGCCTGCGTGGTAGAAGAGGTGTATCGGTTGTAATGGAGATCTTCGAAAGGAGTTTGTATATATACATAGGGAGGGCCGGGGTGCGAGGGATAGACCAGCTGCAGCATTATAGACTTGATGACAAGATGGATAAACGGCAGGCCAGACAGGTTTCTGAAGAGCAATTGAAGGTTGGATGACCATGCCTCGCTTTTGATTCTAAGTATTGGTTTACGTCTGTGTGAAGTGACTCGTCGGGGTTTACACAATAGTAACACTCAGAACTCATGTGTAAAGTAAAAACAAACACCCCCTCAAGGTTCAATCACATACATGCCGAGGTGGGGGACACCCCAGATCAAATTGAGTAAGCCGTGAGTGGGTTGATTTCTTTCATGTGTTCGGTGTATAGGTATTTATTAGCTATTACAGGAGAGTCACGCTGCCATGTCGGTTCATCCTGAAGTGCGTGCGGCCTTCATATCGCCTCGATATTGTAATCAACGCTGACGCAAGTAATCAACAGACGCTCCGTTGCGCCAGACTCAACGATTTCCAAGGTTTTCAACATCTCACAGTTTTCATCCATAACTTCATCCGCCTCATTTCGACCTCACCTGACGCCGAACTTCTTGAGGAGGTCATGGCGGTGGAAATAGCTGCGGTTCCGCTTGCCAAAGACGTCTAGCACGCACGGTAGAT